CCCCCGGGGGTGGGTGCCGTGTTCGGGAAGCCCCAAACTTGGGGGAAATCCTTCCATTGGTAAGGGGGACCTTTGTTTGGTCCCCCCGGAAGGTGAAAGACTCCCTTTTCACCAGCCGGGGGGGTCAAGTTGGGGCATGTGGGGCAGCACGGGGCTCCCGACCGTTACCAGGTGGAGGCACCGCCCCCCCCCCCCCCCCGGGGCACGAGGCGGCCGCCCGGGCCCCTCGCCCACCCTCCTCCCTCCCCCTTCCCTTCCCTCCTCCCGCCCTCCAGCTGATGGACACGCCCGGCGTGCTGCACCGGCCGGAGGACGAGCGAAACGCGATGGAGGGGCTCACACTCGCGGCGGTGCAGCTCCTCCCGTCGGCCGTGGCGCGCTCGCGGACGCACGCCCTCCACGTCTCGCACACGCCTCGCCCACCCTCCTTCCCACCCTCCTCCAGGTCTTTGTCATGGACCTGTCCGGCACCTGCGGCGAGCAGTCGGCGCCGAGGCTGCAGCTCATGGTGCGGGAGCAGATCCGCGCCGCCTTCCCGCGCCGGCCATGGCTGGACGTGCGCTCCAAGGCGGACCTCCCGCTCGCCGAGGGCCTGGCCGCCGAGGACGTGCCGCCCGGGACGCTCGACGTCTCCGTGCACGAGGGACGCAACGTCGCCGAGCTCGCTGCACACATGGCGCAGATGGTGAGCCGCGTCCCGGGACGGAAGCCAGGGCCGCCGTCATGACCGTGCATAGACTTAGTGGTGGTTTGCGCTTTGGTGTACCGCATGCGGCTGAAAATCTCTTGTATTGCGGCTATTGCCGCGGCGCGAAAAAAACGACAACCGGGAGTTCGAGAGTCGCCGCGATGGTTGAATGAACTCAAAGCGCACGCGTACTCACAGCGCGCGTGAAGAGCGACACGGGTCGTCGACAGCGCGGGACGTTCCCCAGCGGCTACTGCTTTGCCTTTAATCTCTGCAGGTCAGCCTGCCGCTGTCGGTAGTCGTCGAGGTCGGCCTGCGTGATCTCGTCCTGCCGGACGGCATAATGGGTGCAATAGTAGAAGACGCTGCCGATGAAGCCGAGGAGCGCCGCGCCGGTGGCGTAATTCGCTCCTTGGGGTCGAGGTGGAGGAGGCATCCTATTTTCGTCTTTTTTATTTTCGCTTCGCTGCGTGCGCGGCCTGCTGCGCGGCCGCCGTCGAAAGACCACGGGGTTCTTTTTTCGTGCTATGGTGTCAGCGTCAGAGAGGGCGCGCCGGCTGCGCGCCCCCGGGGCGCCCCCGGCCGCCCACCGCGCTCTGCAGGTGTCGTCGGGACCCTCGCCGAGCTGTGAGCGAGGCGAAGAACGCGCACGCGACCTTTCGGGCTTGCGACGAGCCCACGCAGGCGGCGCGGCGGGTGGGCGCGATGCCGCCCGGGCAGCGCCGGCAGGGGGCGGCCGCGTTGTGGGTCGCCCCGCCATCTGCATCTGCCAGCCCATCTTCTGGCAGGTGGCGGCCCCGGCCTCCCTCTTAACCCACCTGTTGTCGTGCATTAACACATAAAAGAATTTTAACAAAACAACTAACACACATGAAAGAAAGTAGAGGACGGCCGACGAATGCGCGACTACAACCCTCGCAAGCTCGCTCGCGGCGGCATGGGCCCGCCACCGCCGCCGCCACCGCCTGGCCGACCGACGGCCGGGGCCGGCGGTGCTCCTGGCGCGTTCTCCGCGCAAGTTTCCGCTTTTGCGGCCGCCGCGCCATCCTGCCCGACAATGCTCGCCTCTGGGCCACATGCGCCTTGCCAGCCAGCCAGTGCTGCCGGCTCCTACGCCAGTGCTGCCCGCTCCGCTCTCCTCCGTCCTCCTGTGACTGCGACTCGCTCGGCTCCACCCTTCTCGCTCTGCGGCATCCACAGACAGCTTTCAGACGCCACAATGGCGCTCTCAGCTCTTGGCTGCCTCCGCCAACCGCGCTGCCGCCAGTGCCGCTGCCCACCACTCGCTCTGCCCATCCCAGCATGTGCTCCCTCCTTCGTCCCACGCTGCCCCCACTGCAGCCTCGCCTCTCTCCTCAGTGCCCTCCCAATGCTCCTCGCCTCCCTGGCTTTCCTGCTCCTGCCTCCCACCTCTCTGCCCCCGTGATGGTCCCGCCTCCAGCACTGCCCTCCCAGCAGCCTGTGCACCCCTTCCCACCAGCGCACTCCTTCCCTCCCAACCGCCCGCCCTTCTCTTCCCGCGGCTTTCCCTTTCCCTTCGACTCGCCTTCCTTTCCCCTCTCCTACCAATCCTCCTTCCAATCTCCATTCAACCCCTTCCAGCAAAGCCCACCCTTCCCACCTCGGCCCACCCAGCTATTGCCTGCTGCCTCGCCCCTCGCGCCTCCCGCTCCGCCCCTCGTGCCTCCCGCCCGGCCCCTCCTCCCTCCCGCTCTTCACCCTCCCTCTCGCCCCACCCCACCATCCTTCCCTCCCCCGCCTCCACCCCCGCACTCTCAGCTTCCTCCCCCGCGCCTCGCCCCCCCTCCCATGTCTTTGCCTAGTGCCACGGTGTACGTGCTGGCGCGGGATAGGTCCTACGGACCCGCCTCTCT